TTTTTTTTTTTTTTTTTTTTTTTTGAAGTCTCCTAAGGCAAGGAGTAGTGTGGCTGCTGTTCCTGCAAAGCTGATGGCTCAGGGAGGTAGTGGTGCTGCAGCAGAGCGAGATGAATTGACCTAGAGCACAGCTGTGAAGTCACACTGACACAATCACAGCAGACACTGATAAGAAGCTCTTGCTGGGGACTTTGCAGTTAATGGGCTCCTGAGTTGCTCTTGAGTGGAAGCTCCTGCAAGGAGGGAGTCTGTGATGACAGGACTGAAGCTGGCTCTGACAGGGCCTTTGTGAGAGGCTGACACCAGTAGATCTACAAATGCAGAGAGAGTCCTTGAGCAGAAGGTCTCGCTGCTCTGCTGTCTGTGTGTCGTTGATAGCTCAATTGTCTGAGCACAGATGTGTCCTTGGAGCGCAGGCTGGGACACTGGGACTCAGAGTTGCTCTTCCTACGGTGCAGCAGTGTGCCAGGAATTTGGGGAGGTTTTCCCAAAGCATTGTAGGTGACTTAGGTACTGTGAGCAGACTGCCTGGATCCTCAACTGCTTTGAAAAGCCCAGCATGGAAGTGCTACACTTTTGCCTTTGATATTTCTGTATGTTTTGTGTGCTTGGTTGTCTTGCTGGCACAAGGTCATGCTGAGATCCACGACCATGGAGTACTTCCCCTCTCTCCTTTCATCTGGCTTCCCTTCATCCCTTGTAGAGCAGCTTAGGAAGCCTGGTGTTCTTCTGCAGTTCTGAGCACCTTCTGGAACACCTGCAACCTTTAAAGTCACCAGATGAGACCTGGAATTCTGTGCTGGCCTGCATGTTCTGTGGATGAAAATATGAGACAGCTTAAATGTTTTCTTAATGCAGAAATACATATTCAGGCAGTCTGATACTCTGTTTCTTTGGGTGAAGAAAGGCTGTGCTTTACTCTTGCCCCTACTGATTACCTTTTCTGTCATGACTATTCAAATAATAACGAAAGGCTGTAATCAAAATTATACCATAGTCTTGCAAATGCACAGTTCCTATAGTATTCCTAGTTATGAGCCATTATGTGCCAGGCAATAAATCAAGGTATGTCGTGATTCTCAAGCTGGCAGGAATTGCTACTCTTAGAAATTGGGAGTGTAAGACTACTCAAATATTTTGTTTCAACCTTTAAAAATTCAAAGGTTCTATACGAAAAGAGAATATATGAAATGAATGTTCATGGAAGCTTATGTGAGAGCTGGCTTGTTAAATTTCACTAGCTAGCTGTGTGGAAAGAAATACTATGAAATAAGGTATTGTGCCTATAAATAATAGAGCATGTATTGTCTGCTAGTCATAGGTTCCTTATAACTTTTTTGTCTACATTAAAACAATGAAACATTCGAAGTGAGCATTCTCCCAGGATGCTGGAACCATGTATTTAGTGCAGAGGGCAGAGCAAATTGGCTGTTACCCAGTTTGGTTTTGGGGCTGTTTGGTGGTTGTGGGTTTTCCATCGTGAACCCAGAGCTGCTTTCTGTCCTGGTGTGGAATTAACAGGGATTAAATGGTTGGCTAATCTCTGGTTTATGCATGGTACTTACAATCCTCACCTGCAGCTGTGTGTCCCGGTCTAGCCTTGGCTTCATGAGCCAAAAACAGCAGGTGGCTTTGTTCTTGGTTCATAGTCGGGCAGCTGGAGTGCTTTGAGATCCTCATTTCCCAGATTCTCTTTGAACCCTTTTGGAATCAGAGGGCCCCTTCTTTTTTCATTTTCTTATTTTTTATTCTGTTTGCCTTCAGGAGTGTTACCCATTGTGTAACCCTGGAGCAACGCTTTCCCTGCTTCTTTGCAAGATCATGTTGCCTACTTTGAGGATGTGGCTCAGTACACCAAGAAATCAGTAGCTGTGTTGAATGTGTTTTGATACACTATGTTTTCTGTGATTTACCTTTACTGTGCGCCAATTGCTGTTGGCAGACCCAGCTTGCCAATCGGAAGCAGATCCTGGACTCGGTGGAGCTGGCCAGCCACTCGGAAATCCAGCACTTAACCAGCAAGCTGGAGAGGGCCAATGACACCATCAGCGCCAATCAGCTGGAGGTGGAGAGGCTAAACATGAGAGTGGATGACCTGAGCAAGAACAACCACCAGATTCTGGCAGATCAGCAAAGAGTGCAAGAGGAATTGAGGCAGTCCAAGAAAATGGTAGAGGTCAGTGGAGGAACTGTTACAGAAATGGGTCTAAAGCAGTGCTGGTGAGAAGTAGTGGGAAGGCTTTTAATCCCAGAGTTATCTCTTTCTAGAGCCTTTGTAAAGTTCCTGATTGGCCTCAAAACTGATCTTGTAACCCTGTGCTGCTCTGTGGTATTTCCAAGGGTCCTAAAAAATCTGATCAACCTCTCATCACATTACAGCAAACAGATTTAGTCCATCTTGCAACAGTCATTCCTTCCCCCTCCTGTGCAGGTGCTGCAGGATGAGAAGAGGGAACTGAAAACCACCTTGCAGTCTCAGGAAGATTTCATTGACAGCTCCAAGCTGCAGCAGGAACAGTTACAGAAAGAGCTGGCCAGGATGACTGAAACTCTTCACACAAAGGAATTCCTCATCAGGTAGCATCTGGGCCTCACTGGTACTTAGGCTCTTGAATCCAGATCTACATTCCAGGTTCTCCCACTGAGGACAGTAGCAGCATTTTCACACAGCTGGATCTGTGTTGGTTGTGTCTAGAGTGGTGTGCTGTAGTTTCTCACGAGTGCTGCCTTGCAGCGTTTGCCAAATTACATGGCTCTTGAAATCAGCTGATAATCAGTGAAGAGGGGGGAAGGAACCCACTTTCTCCTCAGCTGGGTTTCTGGAGGGAGCACAGGGCTTTTGAGGTTGTTTCCCCCAGGCATTTTCAGTCAAGTGCAGGAGGCTGTTCAGGGTTGATAACGTGCTAATTAACATAACTGAAAGTTCTCACTGATTTGATGTCAGATTGGGGCCTTGGTGAGGTAACTGCATCTGTGACAAAATCATCTTAGCCTTCACCTTCTGCACTGGCAACGTGCAGAAGTGTTGGGTTCTGGTGGCTGTTTCAGAAGACTTGGGTGTTGCTCACCCACTAGCCAGCCAGTCTCTGTCAGGAAGGCCAACATCAAACTAAAATGTGGTGTTTTTCAATCAGCCTGAACTCAGGCAGGGGCTGTCATCCAGCTGTGTGTTTGCTTCCTCACATGCACGCAGTGGTCGGCCGCTGCTGTGCTCTGTGTGTTTTTCAGAGAATTCCAAGAAAACAGGGGTTGTGTTCCCTGTATCAGTGAACTCAGATGTGGTGTTTCTGTGCTGAGGCTGAAGCTGAGGTTTCTCCTTAGGGCCCTGGAGGAACGCTTGCAAGGGCAGCAGTTGCCTTCTCCGGAGCTGGAGCACTTGCTGCTGCAGCTGGATGTTGCCCAGAAGAAAGAACAGCACTTGCATTCGGAGGTGACTCGTCTTGAGAACAGGTAGGCCACTGCTTGCTCCTCTTGAAAGTGCAATTAATCTTGAATAGTAATGCAGCACCTGATTGTATTCATCCAGTTAACCAGTCCCACTGATTTTTGTAGGTTTGTTTTAAATATCAAAGGGCTAAAGAAATCAAGAGCTATTCATTTTGCAGTGTGATAGTGCTAATTGGTTGGCTGCTTTTCACTGCACACTGTGGGTGTTCTCCGTGTTCCAGCTTGCTTAGGCTGAGCACCTTCCCACTAATAGGTTAAGGAGTCTTTGTTAGGCAGCTGGTAAGAACCAGATGGAGACTTTTCATGAAATAAGAGCTACAAACAGGTCTGCCCAAAGAGATTGTGGACTCCCCATCTCTGGAGGTGTTCAAGACCAGCTGGATGGGGGTTGGAGCAACAACCAGATCTCATGGAAGGTATCCCTGCCCTTGGCAGGGGGGTGGAACGAGATGAGCTTTGAGGTCCCTCCCGACCCAAACCATCCTGTGATTCTATGATTCCTCTCTGAGTTTGTGGTTTTCAGTTTCATGTTTGCATGGAAAGTTTGTAATCTTAGCATGGTAGAGAAACAAACAAGAAACAGCTCTATCTGTTAGGTCAGCTTGCTGATCTCTTTTGAAATGATTCTGGAAAGCAAACCCAAAGGATTGGTAAGGAGCTTGTAGGCTGAGTCTGATTTCTGTTCTGATGGATGTAGGAGACTGCTTGGAAGATCAGAGTTTCTCTGACCATTTCCGCCTCCTCAGGGTATTCTAATCTGTCCTTTTACATTTTCACCCAGCCTGGTGTCTTCAAATGCGAGGTGTGTGCAGCTGAGGGAGGAACTGGGTGAGAATATCAAAGAACTGCAGTCCATGGTAGACCACCAGACTGAGTCAAAGGCAGAGATTAAAAAGGTACCGTGGCTTTGTTCCTGGGGGTTGGGAAGGCACTGGAGGACTGAGCTGATCCCATGTGTGCCATGTGCACAGGCAGCACAGTTCCAGGGGACCAAGGGCTGGGGTGCTGTGGAGTCAGGGATGTGCTGAAGGTAAGGAGAACACCTGACAGGAGGAGTTGAGAGGAGGTGTTTGCAAGTGTCTGAACTTGGCTTTGTGAGCATCTCCTGGGCCTGCCCTACATCCCACAGTACTTCTGTGCACTGTGAAAATACCTGAATTAGTGCTGGAGGGACAAAAATGCAAAGAAATTAGGGTCTGGAATCATGAGTTTAAGCCTAATACAGGCTCCCAACAGGATGAAGAGCAGAGAGGGAATGAGTTTGCTGTGATATATCCTATCACACTTGATTCAGGGCTTCAAGTGTGTTCTAGTCCATCTGTGAATAAGGGAGTTTGTTTCAGGCTTGGTACCTGGACATGAAGTCGGGGGCTGGGGGGATGGAGCTGCTCACCTGCACGAAGGCCTCACCCCAGTACTTGAGCACCGGAGGGGAACAAGCCCTCCAAAAGGCTTGACTTTAAATAATGGTCTGGATCAGCTGGTGTGAGAGCTTTCGCTGCAGTCTGGTAGAGTAGAAACCTCACTGGGCTTGAGTGAAAAACATGACTTGTGTGGAAATCCTTCATCCTTTATTCTGAATGTGTAGAGGTGCAGATCTTGCCAGAGATGTGTGCTTGGTTACACATCTAAACAGCCACACAGTAAATGAATCTCCCACAGGCTGCTGGGGAGGAGAGAGAGATTTATGATGGCTGTTTTTATTTTATATACTTGGGAGGCATTGAGGTGACATGGAGATAAATCATCATGTGTACAGTATTTACATGGCTAGGCAGAGATCATCTGGTTCAATTTTCTAAAATGCTTGTAATACTCAGAAAAATCCTGGATGTTTGGGTGGTTAATATTTTTGACTAATGGAATGGAATCCTGGGGAAGAAATTATGCTGCTGTTGTTCTGTTGTGTCACTGAATAAATATACAGTGTGCCTACCAGAATACTGTATGCAGTTCAGGTCTGCCACCTCAAAAAAGGATTGTGTAAACCAAAAGATAAGGTATGGAAAAAGATGACCCAAAGGATGGAGTGTTTTTTATACAAGGAACAGCTGAATGGAATAGTACTTAGCAAACTGGAAAAGAGATGAGATTGAACAGACTAAAAATAAAATTGTGCCTGTCATGTGGAAAGTAAATAGGGAATGATTATTGTCTCATAATGCAGAGACTTGTGGTCATCACATGTAGTTATGAAAACAAAGAGATGTATTTTTACCCTGTGCATAGCTGGCTGGTGGAAATTTGCCATGGGTAGCTCTAGTTGCTACAAGCTAATATTGATTCAGAAGACTTAGGACAAATTAATTCCTGGAAGAAAAATCTGGCTTGAGCTATTTAAAGTTACCATCCTTAAATGATGTCTTTAAATACCTCAGGAAGGCAGAGTGGCAAATTGCAAGGTGATCTTATCCAAGTGTTGCTGTGCTTCCACAGTGATGGTGGACCTCTGGCTCTCTGGTGTTGGTCACCAAGGTCCAGTGGTGAGTTAAAGAGACCATGATTTGGTGAATTATGCATCTTCCTTCTCAAGTGCTTCACAGCATGTAACTCCTGTCCTGTCCCAGTTGGCAGTTTATGGTGAGGGAAAGGACTGGGATGAGGTGGCTTTCAGTCAGGAAGGATAAGCACGCACAGAGTTTGTTACATAGAACCTTTTGTTTTCCGGTGCTGAGATTTCACGTTATTGTGTGCAAAACTTCACTTTCTTTGCTGAAACATCTTCTAAAAGCTCGTGGGTGGTGTGTGCATATCTCCCTCCAGCTCAGAGAGCAGCTCTCTCATGCTGAACAGACCCACAGCAGTGAGCTGGAAGGGATGAAAAGGGAGATCTCCAGGCTGACACAGGAGCTGCACCAGCGGGACATCACCATCGCATCGGCAAGCGGCTCCACATCAGACCTGGAACAGCGGCTGAGGGCAGAGGTTGAAAGAGCAGAGAGGAACGCAGTGGAGCACAGGGTAAAAAAGGCAGAAGACTCTCATACTGTCTCTTTAAGGGATCTGAAGGCTTGGAATACCATCCTGCTTTCTAGTTATGTTCATAGTTTCCTTCTCTCCTTAGCCTTTGAACAAAGACTTTGAGACCCTTCTGATGGAATCTTCTAATCCATGGTATTCATTGAATCTGTCTTGCTGCTGCTTTTCAAACCAGTAGCTGATAGTCCCACAGAATTCTTTGGGAATACTCATGCTAGCTAGGCCTGGATGGAAACTCAAGAGAATGACTGTGCATGGTCATTTTTCTGGCCTTTTCTCTAGGGTCCCTCCACAACTAACGGCCCAAACCTTGCTCTGTGCTTGATCTTGAGGGTGGAAAATGCTTGGAGGGTGTTGTGGATATGTGCGCTCTTCTTTTTCTGAGCTTGTTGTTTACCTCTGTCTCCTCAGGTAGTTCTGGTCCAGCTGGAAACCTTGAGGCTGGAAAACCGTCATCTCTCAGAGAAGCTGGAAAAAACCAAGTGTGGTATGCTGGAGGTATGCACTGAGAACCAGGAGATGGGAATGGGCTGGTGCTATGTGTTTCCACCCGGGAGCAATCAGAGTCTTTGCCCAGGCCTCTCAAAATGCGTGGTAGAGTTCAGTGAACTTAAAACCCAGGAAAGAGGGGCAGTTTTTGAGGAAATAAGGTGCAGAAATAATGAGCATTTGTTCAGTCAGAGTGGTGAGGAGAACTGCAGGAACAGCCATCATCTGTCTCTTCTCCATGGGCTCTGGCCCATGGTTTGTATTATTTTATTACACTTCCATTTTATGCCAGTTTACCTCAAACCTCTGATTCTGTGACGTCCTTTTGGCCTGTCCCAGAGCTGTAACTACTTGAAATAACTGGGGAGAGAACATATTCTCCCCTGGTGAGGAGCCATTCAGCAGGGCTGGCCCTGGCATTCCATGGGCAGATTGCAGCCTGGGAATATTGGCTGGATGCCTTGGGATAGTGCACCAGGAAGGCACCCTATGGTGGGCTACTGCTGCTGTGGCGCTCCTGAGATTTGATGAGGCACTCTTGGCAAGAGGGAAAAAGGGGAGCCTGCATGGAAAAGGTGCAGCCTTGGCAGGAATAATATCGTGGAGTTGGTTCATTTTAGTGGCTGCGTTTGCAAGTTCTGTCTCACCTAAAGCAGAATGGATGCTTCCCAGGGGGCAAGGACTGGCTTCAGACAGCTGACAGCCTAATGGGAATATAGCAGAGTTTTTATCCTGTCAGATCCGTGAGAAGGAAATACTTAGCTCTAGTACTAGTTTGGGGTGATTGTCCTTGGAAGGGTGTTGAACAGAAGCTTGTGGCTGTTGAGATGGAGAAAAGCCAGAGCTTTCGAGAGGGCAGATTTGAAACTGAATAACCTGAGGCCCATTACTTCTGCTTGAAAAGTGCCTGGTGGCTTTTGCCTGCGTGACTTCCCAAAAACTTGGTAGCAGGGTGCAAAGTAAGAAACCTGCTTTTAAAAAAAGCTCCACAGCCCCATGAAACAGGAGCTGCTGATCTTGGCCAGGTGGTCCTAATGCACATTTGGAAAGTCCTTAGATACAGCAGTGATGAGAATGAATTAAGCATCTAAATTGAATGGAACTGGCAAAAAGGAAGTGGGAAGAAGCAAGTTGTTCAGAGTTTCCAAAAGAAAGGCCAGGTTAAAACACAGATGAACTATTCTTGGTCTTTATTTTCCTGTTTTCAAAAGCATTCAGTGGTGAGAGACTTGCTTTCCCAGGTGGATCAGCACAGCCTGTCTGGATGCAGACCCAGTGAGGCATATATAACTGATTTTCCCTCAGAAAAGCCTGGAAAGCTTTGCCGGTCGAAATCGAGGTTAGAGGATGTGCCTTAAAGAATCTCCTACTGCCCTTTGTTCTGGGTCTGACTGTGGCATCCTGCAAAACCGAACTTTTGACTTCAGCCCTTCTCTGTCTGTTAGGGAAAAGATGTGACCCTGAAAGCACTGAAGGAGGATTGTGCTGTGGAGCTGCACAGGCTCAAGTCTGAGAACCAGCAGCTGCGGAAGGACCTTGCAGAGGCCCGGGCGAAGCTGGAGGTCAGCGCATGGCTCAGCCCAGGTGAACCCCAGGGCACAGCCCAGCAGGAGCCAGGCAAAGAGCCCCAGGCCAGGGGTGTGCAGCACAGGTTAGTGTGGCACCACCCCGAGCGTGGAGGAGAGCAGAGGGCGTGGGGATGTGTGGGTTTTAACGACGTGCTGTCTGTGTAGTGTCTTTCTGCAGCACAGCGTGTGTCTGGGAAAACACAGAGACTGTTTGGGAATCTGCCTTTATGCTTTCAGCAGTGCAATAGCTTTGAATCCCAGCTGGTTTGTGTTCTGCAGAGCCAGCAGTGTTTGTCTTTTGTCTGCCTTTGCCTCTCTGATTGAGCAGCAGTCTGTGCTCCTTTTGGTGACAGGATTAGATGTGGCCCAGGCAGCTGCGCTCCTTTCTGTTGCAGTTTTAGGATGTGCAGGCTGTAGTTTTTGGTATCTACAGTAGCAGAAGAGGGAGAGAGAATTCCCTAGGGACTGGATGTGCATCTGGAAGTGCTATGCAAACAAGTTTGGATTGCCAGGGCTGTTAGTAATGTCTGTTAATTGTTACCTCTGTGTGAGTTTTTGCTGGAGCTCAGCTGCTAAGAGGCAAACTCAGTTCTGTGCTCAAACCTGCCTTCCAGGACAGTTCAGGGAGCACAGCACATGCACGATGAACAAGCAGCCAGGATACATCTCCAGCCTGATGGGACTGCTCAGCATCATCACAGGGAGCCCCAGAGATGTGGGGCTGCTGAAACGGGACCTATGTCCCCCGAGGTGGGTGAGTCACCCTCCCAGACCAGCATGGAGAACTGCCAGGAGTCACCTGCCTTGCTGGGAGTGGAGCCTTCTCTCCATGTGGTGGATGGAAACAAAGATTTTGCAGATGAAGCATCCAAGCAGCCTGTCTCAAATCATCAAAGAGAATCTGTGCCTTTGGTAAGCAGTTGTACAGGAGCTGGTTGCTATTCAACAGCTGAAAATAGACCTGGGTTCTCATCTGGCAAAAGGAGACAGGTTTTTGAATACATGACTTGGCTGCATGGTGTGCATAAATCAAACATTAAAGAGGGAGGGACAGCCACTGTTGGATGGTTAACAGTTGGCCAGTGGCATCCATGTGATGGCTCTTCAGAACTCCTTGGGGAAAGGCTTTGTGTTTGTGTGATTACTCAGCTAATTCCAGGAGCATGAGGTTCTCTCCATGCTGGTGCTATACCTCAGTGTGCACCACCACCTGAGTTCTGCCTCAGCCTTTGGCCTGGCTCTGTAGCAGTGGCTCAGAGTGGACGTGGAGTGCTGAGTGTTTCAGTATTTCACAGTCTCTGAGTGACTGGTTGCTGCACATCTGTAAAGTACAGGGTGGGTTTGACCCCTCTGAGTGGGGCTGCAGCAGTCAGCACACTGAATTTAAAGTTGCTTATCCTAGCTGATGGGAAAGTCTGAAATCCCTGCTTCACTGCGCAAGGGGAGGCTGCTATTTTCCCCATTTGCTGATCACAGTTTTTTAGTAGGGAACAGTGTTGGCAGTTTCTCTGTCCTTTTACCTCAGCTCAGTTGCTGGAGCACTTGCCCAAGATCCAGGAAATTTGGACTGAATCGCTTCTTCCTGTAGCAATTCAGGGAGGGTAGAATGCTGAGTACTGGTCCTTGCTCCAGATGTTTAGCCCTAGCAGTGTTCAGAACATTTTCTCCTCTGTTTGTGTGTTGTTAGCAGTGACAACAGCTGTTTTTGTTTTGTGGGGAGCCCAGAGAAGAGGCTCTAAGGCTGATGCACAGATAAGTGGAGGCTTGTAAGGTCTGTAGATCTTGATGAGATTTACTTGAAACTTGATTGTTTCAAGACTAGAGTAGTTAGTGAACATGTCTAGAAAGCAATATTGGGAGCTTAGGGAACTGTAATATTATAAATGGAAACTCTTCATGTTGCAGTATTGGACCTTAAGTGTGAACAGTTCCACTTTTGGGTCTGAGAAGCTCTAGGGCTTGATGTCTAGTAGATGATGACATACTGCTTTTTGTTTTGAGCGGTAACAATAAGGTTTCTAAGGAAATGCAGATATTTCTCCTGGTGTTGACTGGGACTCCCTGCTCATGGTCAGGTCCAGGGTCTTTAAATCATTTCATTTAACATCAGGAGAGGAGAAATTCTCATCCGTAGGCAGTAGTGGGGTGGGAGAGATCTGCCTGTTATCCGCAGCCTTTTTCTGCTTCCCTTTGTTCCTGGCTGTTGATAAAAGACCTGAAAACCATAAGACTCCAGGATTTGGAATAACCACTAACTTTCTCTTGCCCAGACAACAAGGCAAATGGTCTGTTATGGAAAGCAGCCCCTTAGTAACCTTATATTTCATGTGCCAGCCCCTGTGCAGGAGGCTTCTCTTCATCAACTTGTACATTAAGCCTGGTTTACAATGTTGTTTTTGTAAGTTAATAACTTGTGGTAAGTGATGTGAGGAGCAGGAATAGTTCTTGACTGCAAAGGAAAGAATCTGGAGTAGTTTGTTGACCATTGCTGGCTGGACTGAGGTGCTGTTTTCTGAGCTGGGAGGGGAGTTTGATCTGTACTTGCCTGTGGGATTGTTCCAGGAGCCCATTACTTTAGGGAAGAACAGGTATATAAAACATAGCAGATATCCCCAATCTGGCAGTGCTTTCCCTTGCCTGGAACTCAAACTCTGAGGTGCTGCTGCTCACTGGGCTTTTCATGGAGGCAAGAAGCAGGATGTAAATCTCGAGGAGCACCAACGCCCAGGAGAAAATCCTAGGAATGCTGTAGTGACCTTCTTTAGCCCTGATTCTTCAGTACTGATTTTTTGGCAGTGTTGGCTGGTTGAAAGCAATGACTGTTGGCTGGAAGCTGTTGGGAGGGGCATGACCTGTGACAGAGGTGTCAGTCCTGAGTGCTTATTCTGCCCAATAAGATGGAAGGTACCCAAGAGCCCTTTAGGAGCCTGTTCAGTTGCGTGGTTTGCAGATCTGTGGTGTTTCTGGTTGAAACTTGGAATGAAGGAATACCTGATATCCCTTTGTTTCCCTTTAGTGCCCCTTGCCTACAGGTTCTGTTGGATCAATAGCTGCAAGATACCTGGAAGAGGAAGAAGTGAGATCCCAGCACATCCTGGAATGTCTGAATGCTCACATTGAGGAACTGAAAAAAGAGAGTGCAAAGATAGTGAGACGGTTTGAACAGCAGGAGTGATGTTTCTTGTGGAATTGGAATGCTGGAATATGTGATTCCAAACTGTGACTGAGGTGGTGCCTATAAACCACTTGCCATCAGAATCTCTGAGAGGCCATGTCTCCCACTTGGAGCTGAATCAGCAGGATGGGAGCTGAGGGAGAGGAGCTCCTCTCTAACGTGTTTGTTCTGGTGAAAGATATTACACCACAAACATTTTAGTTAGCTTGGTAGGTCAGAGACCTGCACCAGAGCTCACAAAGACTTTGGTGTTTTTAAAAAGCAAACCACTTGCTAATTTTTATGTAAAGTATTTAAAGTATATTTTGTACATGTAAAAGCTTTGAAATAAACCAGAATGGCAAATACCTTTTTTTCTTGTTCATACAAATACGCAAAGTGAATCTCTGGTGGCTTATCTTGCCTCCTCATCAGGAACTTGGATCAACACCTTTTGCATCACAGCACAGCTATGTTTTTCAAGGAACAAGGAATATAATTCCTCTTTCCTTTAGGCTACCTCCATTTTCTCCAGTTAATTTGTCTTAATAGAATTTCTTAATATTTCCTGGTTCATGCAACTTCTGCCCTTTACTGTCTGTGTAGTATCTGGTGTCTTTATCTTGCCACGCACGATGCTTGAAGTGCTGCAAAACAGCTGAGGAATGACTGGCTAAATTCTGTTTGTGGTCATGGCTCTTGGAGAAGAGAGGAGTTGGAATGGGCAATGACACTGGATGGGAGGAGAACCCATGGACAGGTTGAGGTTCATCCACAGAGCAGCTGCTGTGTGGGCTGTGTCAGCCTGGTTGCTATCTGGGCAGTCCAGTTGAACTGCTGCATTAAAATGCCTCTGTGACCTCTCTCTGGGAATATATTCGATCTTTCTTTGAGGAAAGTAAGTTATCAATGAGTGAACAGAACTTAAGAACTTGCTTTCTTGCAGGGGGTCTCTGCAGTTCTCCTGTGTCTGAGCCTGCTCAACTTTTGTGCAGACAAATCTTGGGACAGAACCATCCCTTGTCTGTGTCCATAAGTTTCCTGTTCCCTTCTATCTGCTTCAGCTTGTCTTAGAGCAGCTTAATGCTGTCAATAAACAGGAATTCAAAAGAACCACACATGCAGAACCCAGCCATCAGGTGAGGCAGATGAGTTCAGTAGAGGTGATGCCTGGCTGCAGACTGGGACTGCTCTTGGACATGCAACTCTGCATTCCAGAGTTCAAAGACATTTAAATCCAAAATTCCTTTTATTCTGGCTTTTTTCTGGAGTTCTTTGCACAGGATAAAACCTTCAAATCCCTTCTGGATTCTCATTGTGCAGCCTTTGTAATGAAGTGCTAAACTGCCCAAAACTGGCTCTTCAGAGCTGTCCACAGGTAAGTGTTTTTGGGACAGCCACCTTGTCTGTCCAGATCTCAAATAAGGACATGTTGGTCATGGGACATTTTGATAAAAACTGAACAGCAAGATAGAACAAACTGTTCCCTCTTTGCAGATGAACCTATAGATGCCCCCAGTGTGTGCTATGCCAGAATCCTTAGGGATTCCTCAAGTCCTTCAGGGATGCCACCAATTTCATTTTTTAAATGATAACTTCCAAATAGTAGTATATTTCCTGAGGATTTGTTAAGTTAGTTACCAAGTGTTGCATCATGCAGTAAGTGTTTTCAGAAGTTACAAGATGTTTCGCCCCATTACTGCTGTTCTCTTCCATATTTTCCCTTAGATACAGTGGCAGTTCATGCTGGTAGAAGGGAAGAGAAAGCCTGAAGATGATGCATTTGTTTAATTAGCAGCTATAATGCTAAAGTGTTTAGCAGTTTCTAATGCCTGTAATAAGTAGCTTCATTGAGAGAGTAGAGTGTAAAAATTTGGACTGATGTGATCCAAAGTAAAATTTAGGGGAACTGCTGAGTTCCTTTTCTGTGCTGGTGTGTGCTCTGTCCTTCCCACCTTCTTTCTTTGCAGATGTCCCCAGATAACTGAGAAGTCTGTTCCAGAGCTGTTCTCCTGGTGTTGGAGCCTTGGCTGCACTGAAGAATGCACATTTTTTATGAGGGGGAGGAGAAGAAGCCGTGTTTATCCCGGAGGGAGATGTCACAGCAAGTGCAGACTTCTGAGGTGCTTTTATCTGGGGCTGCAGGGTTTTTCAGGCCTTTGCAGTGTCAAACCTCCCTTGGAATGATCACCCACTCCTGGAAGCTTTATAATTAATGAAGCAGGAGAGGGGGTTTGTGTCTTTGAACTCATGCCTTCGATAGCACCAAAGAATTTCTTGCACATTAGCAGGGCTGGGCCAGATGTTTTTCTGTTTGAGACAAAAGTGCAGAACTTTATTTGCTGAACTTCCTTTTGTACATCAGCTACAGTGGGAAGCTGTGCAGCCTCTCTCTGTCTTCACTGTGCTACAAATGTTCTGCTGCAGGTGTGGCAGTGCTTTGGGTCACTCTTTACATTGAGGGCTTCAAGAATCTGCTGTGCCTCTATAGATGTGTGTAACTGCAGGTGCCTGGCTTTTGCAGGGTTGGGTGGCAGGGAGAGGGAATGTTCCCTGAGATCGTGCTATGTAGGGGGCAATACTGTATAAACTGTCCTCTCTACTCTCTTGGGGTATTTTTTTTGTTGCCCCTGCCATCTAGAGACAGAAATAGAGCATGTGGGGTTAGAGACCTTGTGAAAGTGAGTCTTTAAGACAAGGAGCAGGGGCTACGCTCACAGCAGTGTCACTGCGGAGAGGCTTTGCTGTGTCTGCCAGATACTCCTGCCTGTTTCTGAGAGAACATCAAGTGTTTGTTTCCACAAAAGGTGTCTGTACCTTGGTATCCTTGACCCTGTTACGTGGAAGAAGTTGTTTTCTTTAGTCCCTAAACTCTCTGGGATGCCGCCTTATCCTCCCATTGTAAGAAGTGACGTGTTTGACTGGATCAGTGTGACCTGTGAAATGAAAGCCGCTGCAGTGTGTCCTCCTTGATCTGAAAAGTGGGATCTGAGAAAAAAGTATCCTTCTGCCAGGCACCAAAATAGACCAGGGCTGTCTGTGCTGACAGACAATACTTGCTTTAGCCTTCAAGGTCCTTAGGTAATCAAAAAATCCCTAGTGTGTCTTGCATCTGTGCTGTTCAGTCTGTGTTGGTGTCCAGGGAGTAGAGCCTGCTGAGCTGCAAGGCTTGTCAGTGTTCCCGCAGGGAGGAGCTGCTGCCACCAGTTTTTGAGGGCAAAGACACTTAGCTGTTCAGGGGAGGACTTAAAACCTACTTTTATGTCACAAGTGGAGCCTCCTTGTCTCCCAAGTACAAAAAAACCCCAAAGCGTTGCTGTACTCCGGGCACCCTGGAGTAAGCCCGATTAGGTTATGTGTTGTGTTTATGCTTGTAAATTGTGTCTGCAACATCCTGTGTCCTCACAGAGAGTTCTAATGCTTGAATCTGGCTCCAGGTACTCAGGGGGGTCAAACCTGGGTGCTGGAGTAGAGGGAGTACAGTGGCAGTAATCCTCCTGCAGATGGGCAGCCCTGCACTAGTGGGAATAATTCCTGCCACCCAGTCGCTGAGGAAGGGGGAATGTAGGAATAACCCACCTTTCTTGTGTGGAAAATGCAGCAGCTTTGTGAAGAGAACTCATGTTGTTGGGTCAATGAAACAAGAGTGCAAAAACATAACAGGTTTATTTTCAATTCAAGCTCAAACATAGTATCATTTGGGTCATGCTAATTCTCACTGACATCTCAATCAATTGGGAAATGTTGCTCTGTCTTACGACATGCATTTGTGGTGGGATTCGCTAGAAGCCCCCCTTTCCTTGTGCACCAGGGGGGAGAGGTTTACAAGAGTACAGCACCAAATAGTTTTTACATGATAATAACACTCAGCTTGCTATCCCACAGAACCCCATCAGTTTTTAGTTGCAGTGTTGTGTAGATGGATTGGAGTAAGGAGTGATTTCTGAGAACTTATTTCTCCATTTTACTGTAGCTTTAGTTATGGAAACACCTATATGATTGAGATATAATTACAGCAGAAAAAGTGTTTACAATACTGTAATATAAAAAGGTACAAATGATTGTATTGTATATACAATTGTAATATTGTATATTGCAAATATTTATTGTATTTAAGAGTCAGTGTAAAAAGCAATTTCGCAGCATCACTTAAATCTGTAAGACAATGAAGTGCACAAGGAAATTTCATGTTGTATCTTCTTCCTAACACTTCTCTCTCTCCTTGGATATACAACTGACTAAAGATATACAGAAACTCGGATTAAATATCCTGAAGTTCCTTGTGCCCAATATTGCTCAAAAGTCGGGTGCACTTCCTTCATCCTGCCCCATAACTAGGTGATTTCTTCTTGGAGTAGCCCTTGTAAGACTTTTCTAACGGTCCATAACTTGGAAACTGATAATCACTCTTGGCAAAGAATGACCTGTGGCCAGTCAGTTGTTTTCTTCAAGATATTGGTCTGGACAGTGTTACTGAAACATAGGTGAGCTTTTTATCTCATATCTTCCCCTGCTGCTCCCTCCTTAACAGGATTTTTTGTCTCTCTGACCGTCTTTGAGCCCGTGGTCTTGCAAAAGCCTGCAAGTGTTGTCCTGCCATTTGTTGAAAGAACAGATTTTACTGAGAGAATGAGTGATCTCCTAAAGCTTTGTTGGCTGGGGGCATTTTGGGAAGGTTGGTTCATGCGGGTGAGTGAAAGAACAAGGAGTGGATGTTACTGGGTCTCAACTTTGTATTTGAGGACGTATGAGTAAAAGCTGTGGTTGGCGTTCTCGTGCACCATCACAGACACCTCTCTGCACCCCGAGGTGTTGCAGGTTCCCTCCCAGCAGCCTTTGTTGTGGGTGAGAGGGTAAGTGTCCTCAGCCTGAACCAGCACCTTGGCTATGCCGTGCATTTTGAGTTTGAACTGGACGTTGCGGTTGGCGGGCAGCAGGCCTGACAGCGGCTCCAGGATTTCATAGTCTTCCATCCACTTGCTGTAGCGCTGGGGAAAGGCCGGCCACTTCACCTCCGTGTTCAGGCACGTGATGAGGTAGTTGAAGACGTAGTCATAGCTACCAGGATCTGACCTTTTCTTGGAGTAGATTTTCATCACGAAGTTCCCCGCGTGCGGGAGGTGGACCTTGAGCTCGATCTGGTTCCCGCGGAGGATTTGCATGATGTGCTGCCTGCTCAGGTCCTCGGCGGGGCCGCTGCCGTCGGCGTGCAGCGAGGTCAGCACGCTGATGTCCTTGCCCAGGGTGAAGGTGAGGGAGCAGCGCCCGTCGTTAGTGTGGATGATGGGCTCGCGGTGGGATGGTCGCAGGAACCCCTGGCGCTCTGAGAGCCAGCTGGGCCCCACGGGCTGGTGCAGGTCCTTTGGGAGGCACGTGGCCTTGTCCACGGACTCGCACTCCACCACGTACTCCAACACGCAGTCGTAGGCACGTTCCGAAGTCTCAGCTTTCGAGGGCTTGGCGAAGATCTTCAGGTTGTGCCTCCCTGTCTCCTGGGGGTAGATGTCCAACTTCATTCCATGTTTTTTCAAAGTCATTAAACCGTGTTTATCTGTTCCCTTCAGCTCAAACATAAATAACATGTTAGAGCGGCAATCCACGGATACAGAGGCTTTTCCATTTACTAGGAAATACAAAAAAAAGAGTACATAGAAGCGTCAGTACAATTTTTGCATGTACACCCTGTTCTGGGAAGGCTAATCTGTCCACATAAATAGCTGCTTCTCTAATAGTAAAACAAAGAGCTGTAATTGGCAGGTCATAGCTTGGACCTGTGTCCCTCAAAAAGGAGTGGCCTTTGTTTTGGAGATGTGCATTTATCCTGTTCTCAGCACTTGTAAATTAGCCAATTCCTGCAGCTCTTGGAAAATCTGAGAGAGGTGATCTTAAACGTAGGCTCTGGCACTCAGTGGTGGTACCTGAGTGGTTTTATGCTAAAAGAGCTGCTGGACTAACTCGGGGTGCTCAGCATTCCTGAAGAAGTGCACAGCAGTGTGTGCTGGATGTGGGACAAATGAGGGAAGATGCTCCACAGCTGCTGTCCCGTGGGGTGTTACCTGTTTGGATGATGGGTGTCTCTGGGTGCGAGGCCAGCAGGCCCAACGAGTAGAAGCTGCTGTTGTACAGCATGCTGCTCTCAAATTCCTTCAGCGTCAGGGTGGGTTTCAGAAGCTGCCAGTTGCTGTTATCTGGGAAGTGAGTGTTAATGAACAGAGCCGGATGAGTCAGAAAGTAAAACTCATTGTACCTGGAAAAGAGGGAAGAAGTTAAAGGAATATGAGTAGTTACAGGAACTGAATTCTTCCCCTGCAGTGGTGGTGGGTTCAGCAGGAGGATGTTAGAGTGCTTTGAGCTGCTGACAGACTGAGATCACTGGGTTTGAAATCCTCCAGGCAGAGAAGAAACCTGAGCTTTGGTCTTCCATTTCCAGGGCAAATGCTGAGCTTTGGGATAAACCCCAGGTATTTGCACTTTTCCCCTCCTGAGGAAAGAGGGAGGCCCTGGGTGTTGCTTGAAATGGATTCACAAAAGCTGTAAATCGAGTGTCATGGAGAACTGCAAAAATCTGAACATGTGATCAGAGGAACTGGTGGCCTTTTAGCAGTTTGTGGTTTGCTGCTCAGGCTGCTCCCTTTCTACAGGTCGTGCTCTATCCCCTGTATAGGCAGCCCTGGTGCCTTGTCAGGGCTTTGGGTCTTCCTGTGGCACCTGAAGTTTGTCCCTGTTTGGTTTGCCAAACCCATCAGCTTTCTTTGTGCCTTTGTGGTGGGTTTCTGTATTAACTTAGAGAGCGGTTCTTTACCTGTAGGTGAACGTGGTGACAGAATCATCAACAAAACCAGTTCCCCAGGTGCTGTCCAGCAAATGCCACCTTCCTTCAATGTAGACAGCGTTCCAGGCATGGTCAGACTTCTCTGTGAAGGTCTGCCCTATCTTGTACCCGTGTCCCTTGGAGTGTCCCGACACCTTCTTGCACTGGACCCCTGCAATACTGAGAGGAAACCATAAGGTGCAGCAGGAGATTTGTTTTGCACCTGCCAGTAACTTGTGTGGAGGGAAAAAAGGTGGTGATGTCTGAGATGTTGAATAGGGCTGTTTGTTCTTGCACCCTTTGCACAGGGACTCGGGAGGAGTGTCCTGCTGGAGGAATGGCCTTTTCTCTCTCAATTTTTGCATATTCCCTCTCTTTTTGCCTGATGCACCATCAATTCAGCACTGTTAGAGGATGACAAAGATAAAGTGGGCCTAATTGCTCTCTGTCTTGTTACTCAGTGGAATCCCTTTGATGCGGTCCACAATTAGCCCATGTAATTATAAATTAAAAGTGTAGTCTGTTCCTCTCCCTGTGATGGGGGGCCTGGTGTTTGACACCAGCTAAGGTATCTCAGACCTCACGGGACTGTGGATGCTGATTTAGTTTCCTGAAAGAGTGAGCTTGTGCTTGCCCAGGGTAGAAATGATTAAACAGTCTCTTTCTAAAAACATAATGAATACCTGCGTGGATGTGTAAATAAGATTTAAATAAGCACTGTGTTAATAAGCTCTCCGCTGATGATAGCAATGGATTCTAACATTGGCATCTTATTTCAGCATTAATCTAAAACTGCTTCACTTGGAGGATTGTCTTTTGTGTAGGACAGCTTTGACATTTTTCTTCCTTGTTGAAAAGTGTGCTAAATGGAACAACTACCTTAAGTAATAAACTGTGCAGGCTTCCAGAGCAAGATTGTCTGCATACTGTGGGTTTAGCTCAGGAGAAAAGGGATATTTACGGGAAAGATAATTAACACGGCTGTTAAGAAGTTGAGGTCTGCTAACAGATACTGACTGGCAATTGGCAGTGCAGTGCTGCTTGTAGGAAGGACTGTTTTCTCTGTGGAGAGGATGCTGATTGTGAGGGAAGGTGGGCACCTCAGCAGAGGAGAGGAGGGAGCAGCAACAGTGGGGCTGTTACATGGGTACCCAGAACACACGTGGCCAGGCTGCAGGGAATGCCATGGAGAACCCTGGTGCTGCAGGGGGTCTGGAAAGCCCTTGCCAGCCCACAGTCCCCTGTGAGCCAAATTCTGTTGTGGAGCTGGGCAGAAAATCTGGAGCAACTCCACTGATGAAACTGGTGAGAGCTTGGATTTACATGATGTAACTGAGACTAGGGGCTGGCCCGGGAACTTTAGGGAAGATTTGATCCTGGGAGTTTCAAGGAGCTAAGCACCAAGGTCCCACTAATTTCATGGGGATTGGTGTCTAATCCTTCTAGGCTCCTCCAGACATTCTTGTTAGCTGGGATATTCAGAGGGAACATTAAGGGACGGGTTCTGCCATTGGCTCTCACTGTGCTCTCGATTACAGTGAGCGCTGGCAAAGCAGCAAGAAGAGTTTGTGCTTGGATGTGTTCGAAGTTCCCAAAAGAAAGGCTGGAGCATTTAGACAGTGACCTCTCTAGTAAGAGACAAAAATCCAGGCTTACACATCCTTTAACAAAGCAGTTCTGCAGTGGTGGAAAGGGTAATTCTGTATAAATGGATTTATACAGATAAATTAGACAGGCAGAGAGAAGAGATGGGGAAGGTCTCTAGAGTTTGTGGATGTGGCAGTGTGATGGTGGAAGATGGCCTAAATACAAAATGGACTGGAAGAACTAACTTGAGAAACATATGGCAACCTTTGCTTGGTGCAACAAATGAGGTTAAACACAAAGTTGCTTTTCTGCTTCAAAAGGAGTAGGAGATAGTCTGGATCTTGCTACAGGTAATCCTCAGGATTCAATGGCACCTTATTCCCTTTGATTTTAGGTTGACTTTGATAATTTCCTCTAAAAGAAGAAGCAAATCTGGCCTCTCCAGAGGGAGAGAATGGTTTATGTTTGTGGTAGGTAGGTGTATGTCTCTGTACCTGAAAAGAGGGAAAGGTTCTGACTGTGGGAAACAGGAGAAGCAAGAGGCTGTGAAACCTGAATTATTTGCAGGCTGGTTCTGAAGAAGGAGCAGCTCAGTGGGCAGATCCACTGTAGGCAGTGCAGCCAGCTTTTGCTCCTAGAGGTGCTGCTGGAACCTGTCCGGGGAAAGTAATTGTTGTGCCTTCATCACGAATCCTGGTGAGTGAGTCTCTCCCTAAATGCAGGCTGCTGGGTTTGCCCTTAATTGAATTCTTGAATTTACACTCCCTGATTCACTCAGCCGTGCTACCTCCTCAGGTTTGCTTGTCAGATGAGAAGCCAGTTCTTGATAAATGCTGCTGAAATATTGGTCAGGAGCCCATGTTTGCGTTCCATGCAATCACATCTGATATTTGGAAAGTGATGTTTCATGGCCAGCTTCCCACTGTCTGTGCCCACCTTTCCTCTGTGACAGGAGTCTCAGCTAATGGGAAGAAGTCTGGCTGCCAAAGCTGTGCTCAGAGGTGACAGAGTTGTGTCTGCAACAGGAATTGTTCCCTCTGGCACTGGGACAAGTAAGACTCAATCATTGTCAGACATTGACTTTGACAGGACCTTTGGGGGGACTCCTGGTGATTGGCAAATTGGGTTGTTTGTTCAAGTTCCCTCGCAGGAGCTAGGAAAAAAAGGCATGATAAACCACCTTTTTTTTCCCCTCAAAACTTGGCTCTGAAAAACCTCTCTGTAAAGTAACTGCTCTTTGCCTCTTGTCTTTCTGCTTAGACTCAGGGTAAGACTTGAAGAGAGCATAGGAAGAAGGGATGAGGAGATGCCTGTGCAAGAAAGAGGTGTTGTCTTTGGGTACAGTTTTTCAGGAAAGGAGCTAAACATTTAGCTAAATGACAACAGTATTTGACAACATAATAGGCTGCTTGACTGGGAGGTTTCCTGAATCACATAGTGACTAATCAACCTGGAACTGAGGAATTATGAGTAAATCAACAGCACCTTTAAATAGTCAAAAATATCCTTGGCAAGATTAATGCTTTTAATGAACTAAACATATGCTTTTTAATGAACAGATGCAAATTTCCTCCCCCTCCAACTGCTAATAACTGTTCCATAAGATGCAGCTATAAATTCATATGTCACCATCCTATTTCTTTATGTTACTGTTTAGAAAGCCAGATCCAATATCATAGAATGGTTTGGGTTGGAAGGGACCAAATACATATCACAGTTGCTGGTTGTTGGTTGGAAGCACTCACCACTTCAGAATGTTGGTTTTCTTTAAACCTCTCTTTTCCCTGTAGATTTTGTGGTGAAAACCTTCCCAAAACTTTTGGGATGGTGTGGAAAGCCAATTGTTACTTACACATGTGATTAATAGCTGGTCTTTGATTTTTCCAAGGCTATCTTGTACATGGAAGGTGCTCCCTGGCACAGCCACCTCGCATAAGGCTGGTCCCCAAACTTACCAGGCACCTTCATTGCTTTCACTACTCATCCAAGGCACACTCCTGGGAGAGGAGAGATGCTGGGAGAGATGTTGCTCCTTGCTGTGGTGTTTGAGGGTTGCCTTGTGCAACAGCCATCTCCTTTCCTTACTGGATTGGAGAGATGGGAGGGAGAAGGGATTTGGGCTGCATCCATCTGCAAGGCCCCTGTGCTCCCTGCTGAGGAAGGGGCTGCCTCTTGTGTGATTTGTAATTGTTAAGTTCTGTTGTGAGGGAAATTTATGGGAATAATCCCCAGTGAAGTCCATGAGGTTTTGCAGGCAGGAGAATGGATTTTAGTCATTAAGTGCCAATATAGCTATAAAATGGGAAGTGCAGTATTGCCCTCAATGATGATGCCCCTTGAGATTGGCCTCAGAAGACAGCGTGGGTGTCCCTGTGGTGCCTCTGGAGGGGACAGGTTTTGGGAAAGCTCCTTCTGGGGATGTGCATGCCTCTTCCATGGGAGCACGTTGCAGACAGCGCTCCTTGTTCAAGTCTTGCTCTGCTTTTAACCTTCACATCCAGATACTCCAAGGAAAATCCTAGTTCTAATCAAATTAGCTCCGCGTTTTCATCTGCCATTATGTTAATGCAATGCGAAGCTCAGCAGATGGCACCAAGTAAATTATGCTGGGGAGGGGAGTAGAGGGAGTGGAGGAGGGAGCAAAATTGACCTTTCTAGGACTTGCTGTTTTTCCACAGCATGGCTTGAAAGCTGAAGCTCCATGTCCTGCTTAAAGTCACATTTGTCAACGCAAAGGCAGACAGGATAGGCATGGGGATGACAGGGAATGTAAACTCTCCCTGGCACTGGATGTTTCTGAAGTTAATGTACCTGCACATTTGCTCGAAGAGCCCGGCGTAGCCCTCGCAAACGCTCTTGCCCATCTGAAGCACGTCTTTGGCCTCGCTCAACCGCTGGCTTTTGTTGTGGTAGCCCACGACGTCGTATTCTGCAGGAGGGATCACAGGCAAAAGTTCATCCAGCAGCCCCAGGCGGTGGGATCAATGGGCAGCAGGAGCAGCGCTCGGATTGCTTTTCGTCTCCATGAGCGTGAGCGGAGAGAAGGGAGCCGTGGCACGTGCTGCGTGGACAGTGCTGGGGGCAGAGGGATGGGGTCTGCAGAGGGATGGGGTCTGCCCTCATCACCCTGTGCTCTAAGCCTGGACTGGGTTCAGCAGTTGAATCCAAATAGGAGGAAAACTCTGAATTTTTTTTTTTTTTTTCCCAGTAAAAACCAGAGCATGTGAAGGAATCAGACTGGTGTTACCTCAAAGGAGAACACTGAGCTTTTTGCCCTCTTTACATGCAATTTGTATTAAAAATACCTAGAAAGGAGCTTGTTGGGAAATACCTGAAGTGATTTGTTGGAACTGAGTGATAGAATCTGAGAGTGGCTTGGGTTGGAAGGGACCTTAAAGCCCATCTCATTCCAACCCCCTGCTGTGGGCAGGGACACCTTCCACTAGGCCAGGTAGCTCCAAGCCCAGTCCAGCCTGGTCATATTAATACCTGGAAGCACAGGAAGTCTTGATTTGTTGGAATGAATGCAGAAAAGCAGCACAGCAGGGCTCCCTCAGACAGACCTTGAGGAACCGGTCTGGGAAGGTTAATTCAATGCCCACCAACCTTGGCCATGTCCACAACCTCTTTCTTAAAATACAGACGTATTTTTCTGACAGAGCTTTCAGAAATGCTGCATCAGCTGCTTCAGCTTCCCCTCAGTGCTGGGGCAAGGAGGAAAGCTGGCAGCAGGCTCTGTGCCCGTGTGTATGCTCTGATGAAGTGCTGCCACTGCTTGTCTTTTATCTGAGGGATTCAGCTGGTGCCTCCCCAGTGTTGGCTCTGAGGAGCTGGGAAAGGCTGGCTGTTCCACCAGGGCTGTTCACTGGTCTCCAGCAAAGCCATGGATTGCTTTGAGGGGTGTGCAGAGCTGGCTGGCTGCACCAAGCTCTGTATTTATGCCAGAAATAACAGGTCAAATAATTGTCAGTGCTACTGCTGCATGGGGATAGCAGCCCATTGTGGGATTGAGTTGGGTGGGAAGTGGTGCCCAGGGAGCAGTGCTCTCACTGAAAATCCATCCAGGAAAGGATGGATTTATATTTTATATTTTATATTTATATTGCAAGTGCTCTTCCAGGCTAGATAACATTGCATGGTGAGAAAACCTCAGGATGCATTTCTGGGTAAATACCTCCAGAAAGCCTTCCTTCCACCCACCACGTGGAACTAGCCCACAGATACAAACTGCCAGCAACAGCCTTGTTTTCTATTGAGGATCTCAGCCTACCTATGTGGTGGCATATCCACATCCATATGGCTCGGACCTTTTCCAGGTCAGTCCGGGCTTGTTTAAGCAGGGCTTTGACAAGGTCCTCCACGCTGCTCTTGACGTTCACCTGTGTGAGGAGGAAGCACTGTGTGGTCATGGGGAAGAAATCTCTCTGGCAGATCTCCTGTCCTCCCCACTCCCTTGTTCTTCTGAAACCAGTGAGACCCCAACTGCCAGAGACTCCTCTGTCCCCCCTTCCCTTAACAATGATACTACAATTCTACATCCATGTATTTTTGGTTATAGTTCCCTCCTAGAGCGGGATCTCTTTGCTAATGTTTGCAGGGAAATGGTTTTTAATATGTTTGGGAGATTTTGAGGGTGCATCCCCATAGCTCAGCTAAGCTGGTGTCAGTTCTGGGAGCCAGGTTTCATGGAGCGTCCCTGGAGGGGAACTGGGAGGAGGACAGAGGCAAAAGCAAGACTTACTTTTAATGCGTAGGCATCCAGCTTCTGAAATTGCTGCAGATCTACTGGCAGGGATTTAAAAGAGGATTTGTCCCATGGATATGCTGGGAAGAGAATGAGTTGTCATTGTTTTGGGAAGGGAGGGTGTGTTTTTCCTGGCTGAATGGTTGAAGAAGGGGACAGAGCTCAGGGAGGAATCCATCATCGAGTGCTTAGGGAGCAGAGGACATGAGGGCATCCGCAGGAGGTCCCTGCCAGCTGCATGGAAAGCAGGAGCCATCCCGTCTAGTCTGCTAGAATTTGGGCAGTGCCAAAGAAGGAGCTGCCTCTGCGACTTTGGCACTGTGTAACAGCATAGGAAATCCCAGGATATTGTGTGGAGGGGCAGGAGATACAATGGAGAACGAGCAGGGAAAATCTGTGCTGTGCAAGCCCTGGAAAAAAACTTCATTTCTTAAAAAGCACACCAAAGATCTGGATCTGCCCAGGAGTTTTGCATGGTAAAGGGCCATGATTCTGCAGGAATTCAGGCCCATAAGGAATGTCACATTGGGAGCAGTTGGACTGAAACAACCCTCTGTCTTTGTCTTTCCAGGCTCCTAGTTCTCCTCAATGTGAACAAAGGGTTAATAACTTGCCCTAATTAATGAGATAACTGATTTTTTTAACAGTCTTGGAATGAGCTGACAGTGCTGTCTCCCATCAGTGAGCCTGAACCTCAGCCCTCCCTGCTCTGCTGGCTGGTGAGAGGAGAAGGGAGTGCTACAGCCTGTCCTGAGCTGTCAGAGCCATTCAGGGTTGAGACATTCCTCTAAGCTCTCTCTGTAGGATTGTTATTTCTCTGGAAAAAAGGCTTTAAGAGATCCTGAGGTGCGAACACTGTTGTGTGACTCCTGAGTGCTGTGAGAAGTGAATGAACAGTGCAGTGGAGCTGCTGTTTGCCTGGAGCAGGGGATTGCCTTGGGCTGGGGTTGGGCACAGCTGGTCATATCCTGCTTTATTTGTGACCCCGCTTAGGCAAGTGGGACCCCCCTCTACCTGCTCAGCAAGTGCTGGGAGCAGGATGCACGAGAGGCTCCAAGAGCCTCCTGTCCTACTTGAGAGCCAGCAGTGCCTCTGGAATCTATATTCATCCTCTGCTCCCCTTCCAGCTGCCCAGAACAGGTCTCTGGCCCAGGTTCCAGCCTGCTGTGGGGGTGGCCACAAGGTCCATTCCTGACTTGCAAAGGTGTGCTGTTAAGGTGAGCCCTGCTCTTCTGGGAAACCTCTGCCCGAGGGAGGGGTTTGGGGGACATCCCACATCCCAGTTCCAGTGCTGCCTGCCAGGTGGGACAAAGGCTTGTTTGTTTATCTGTGTTTTTCCTGAAAAGGGGCTGTTACACTGACCCAAAGAGAGAGGAAGCAGATCTACATGTTTAAAGATTCCCCCGCTATACAGCTCTGAAAATTACTTTTTGTCTTTTGGGAAGGGGATTTTGTTTTTTGTTTGGTTGTTGTTTTTGTTTTAAATTTGGTTGTCAGGGTTGTCTTTGCCAGGTTGTAGAGGCACAGGCTCCATGCAGGAGCGGGATCTGCAGTGATATGCAGTTAATCTGGGCTGTGCCTCTTTGCTGAGTAGCCTTCCCTGGCTGTGGAGTCTTGGGAAGTTCTTGGGCACGGTGTGAGGTTCCCAAAGCCACCCCCATCAGCCATCCCGACGAGCAGGAGGTTGGGAAGCTGGACGCCTTTTGTGGTAAAAGAGTTACCATGCAGGTCGTTTGGTCCCGGTAACTGCGGGGCCTCGGTTCCCTGGAAACCTGCAAAGTGGAGAAGGGAGCATGAGGTGGGAAGTTGTTGGCAGGAGAGAAAAAAGAAGCAGAAATAGGTGGTTCTGGGGAGTAGGACTGGGTGAAAAAAGCTGGAATTGAGGCCCTTCTTTGCCCATTCCCTTGCATTCCGACACGGATGTCAGCATCCTGCCGACTGTGCTCCGGGTCCTCTCCCTGCCATCCCACCGAGGCCACATTCCCCAGCACTCAGGCATCTCCTGTTCTAGCCCGAGGGCTGGGGACAAACCCCTGCCCTCCACGGCCAAACCCCACAGAGGTGGAGGCAGGGAGCTGAGCTCCAGAGCTGTGAGGTTGTGACCCCACCCAGAGCTCTGCGGCAGCAAGAGGTTTCTGAGGGACCCCACTGCCCGCAGCCTGTCAGCACCTGCCTTGTCCCAGGGCTGGAGGAGGGGGAGACCCCCCACCCCAGGAGCAGAAGGATTTTGCTCCTCAAGCCCCAGGCGTGGGCAAGAGCAGGCAGCATCTGCCTGTCAGGGAGAACGGGGTTGGCGTCCTCTCAGGAGCCTCCCGATGGGCAGGAGGAGCCCGGGTCCTCTTGGAGCAGCTTCCCGGGTGAGGGATGGCTTGGAGTCGTGCTGTGGTAGAGCGGAGCCTCACCTTTGTTGTCGTGTCCTCTCAGGCTGGGAAGCCGCTGGGAACCTGCAACAAGCCGGCACTGTTAGTGGGATCAGCTCCAGGGGCACAGCGTCCCCTCCAGGCTGCTGAAAAGGGAGGGAAGGATGTTCTCAGCTTCTGCCGGGGTTTACAGCCAGGGAATGTACCTTTTTCCAAGGAGTGTATCCTGATGGGTTTGCGGGAGGTATCCTCAGGATGAATCTCCACTGTCACTTGGGTTCCTGGAAGAAATGATAATAAACTCCCTAAGAAATGGAAAACTAACCAGGATATGGAGGAGAAGGGCAGGGTTGCCTGCTGAGGCAGCTCTTAACTTCAGATAAAGCAGCAGCTCTGGTGATTGCAAAGGTTTATCACCACATTAAGGAGCTCTTGATGGAGCAGTGGAAAGCATAGAATCAATGTCTTTCATTGATTTTTCGTGGAAATTAACAGAAAAAGGCTTGGAGCGCTGAAAATGGTTTGACTTGTGATACTAAAATGTCTGGCAAAGGCCACTGCCTGTAAGAGGCAGTGTCCTGGCAGAGCTAGGTCCAGGTGTGCCATGATGCTCCAGAACAACCTCCTGTGCAAACTGGAGTGTGGTCTTTAAAGTTCCAGAGAGATAAATACAAGGAAAAAAGTTAGGGAGTGTCTTACAAGAACTACATCAACTTTTTGACAGAGACTGCATTTTTTGAGCAGGTATTTCAGGAGGTTCTGCAGCCCCTGAGGTTCCCTGGAGGAGCATGACGTGCTCCTGGTTTCCTGTGTCAGATCGGACAGAGGCTACTTGGGAGACTGAAGGTCAAAATGTTAATGCACCTCGGGGCTACCATCCAGTGATACCGCCTACAGTTTTATCAGGAGTCTCATAACATTTGGGGTTTTCCTTGAAAGCCAGCTCTTGGAACTGGCTACTTAGGTGGGAATCTGCACTTTCATCAAAGAATAAGTTTTTCCATAGTATTTAACTTTAGAAAAGTGAAGTTTCTCCTGGGATTATGCCGAGAGGTTTGATGTCCTCTAAGCTCCAAAAGCAGAAGGTAAGAAAAGCTGTAAAACCCCTAAACACTAGAGCTTGACTCCAGTTCTGGGGTGGTGCATATCTGGGTGTCAAGATCAGAGCTGGGTGGTGTGTTTGTCAGTTAATTCAAAGATAAGTGAAGCTATTCCTCAAAGGGATTAATCCTGTGAATTGTTTGATTTCCTTAAGGTTTTTTATATTTTCAGGGGTCCTTTTCTATTTCTCATGATTATTTTATAGCTTTGGTTTTTTGTGAGTTTTCTCACCAACTTCGAGTGAATTAAAATACATAAAATTCTTTGTTTTCGAGAAACAAACTTGCCATTGAAGAATGTCTTCTTCCAGTGAGTTTAAGTGTCATATAACAAATGAGAAATGTAATTCCATGGGAATTTTTCAAAGTTCTATATTCTTTGCTTTAAAAACTAGTGATATGAAATGGTCACTGATGCTTTTATGACTTTATTTTTTTACTTTTCCTGATGAAGACATCCTCATAAAGAATCATAGAATCATAGGATGGTTTGGTCAGAAGGGATCTTAAAGATCCTCTTGTTCCAATCTCCTACTGTGAGCAGAGAACTTGCCACTAGACCAGGTTGCTTAAAGAAATACTTGTTTTTCTGCTTGTGCTGTGTGGCCAGACAAGTCCTTGGCCAGCAAGTGCTCTGTGGGTGCAGCTGGCCCAGGTTGTTTTTTTTTTCTCCCTTTTGGGGTGTTCTGAGGTTATTTTATTAGAGAAAAAGCTTATTGGCAGCTCCCTGGGGTTCTGCTCTGTCTCTTGGGTCACGACTTACCTTTGTCAGAGACCGAGGTGATGGGTTTTGTTTGCTCCCAGGGCTTCCTGGAGACAGGCCAGCCTGCATGCACAAAGGAATGGAGGGGGATTAAATCTGTGCCCTTGCTCAGCAGCACAGTAAGTAAGAACCCCCAAAAACTCAACCCTGTCCTCCAGCTTCAAAATCCAATTGCTCATGGCCTAGGAGTGCCTGGCCCCACTCCGGAGGGATGTGCCAGCCCAGGCTGCTGCTGCTCAGGGTGGGGGTCAGGAGGTCGGACCATGGGAGTTTGAAGGGGGGTAGGTGGGAGGGAAGGGCAATGCTGGGGGCTTGGAGGTGAAGTGTTGGTGTGGTTTTCAGTGTCTCATCCTGATCTCTCCCCTCTGGGAGCCCCTGGCTGTCTCTGCAGTGCTGGCTGGCCCAGGAATCCTTGGAATAGAGGGAGGTGTGAGAAGCACCTGGTGTGCCCGGGGCAGCACAGATCTGCTTCTTGGGGCTGTGCTGACGGCAGCAAATGCCAGGTGAAACTGAGCCCTCGCTCCCACACAGCTCCCGTGCTCCAGCCTTGACAGAGGCAGGGTGGATGTTGGCCAGGGTGATCCCTCACTCTTTTCCAAAGTGTTGTGGGATCACCATCCCGCCAGCCAGCAGAGACCAGCACGAGGAACCTGGATTTCACAGCTTGTCCAGGTACCTTTCGTGCTGTGTGGCTGTGACAAGGGATAGCCCCAGAGGGATGGGATTTTGTGGAGTGGGGCCACAGCCCCTTTGCCTCAGTGGGGTTAGGGATTATATGTTTGAAAGTACTGTGGCAGCACCAGGGGTGTCAGAGGCTTCATCAGGACACTAATGTGGCTGATTGAAGGGGAATTCATTAACCCCTGTGGTGCCAGAGGAGCCAAAGCTCCTGTGGTGTCTGAATTCCTCAGCAATCCTTGAAGAGTGCCTAAGGTGGAGTTGTGAGGGAAGGATTCCCATGTGCATACTAAATACTCCTGCCATTAATTCAGGGTGGGAAATGATCAGTAAATACCATCCTCTCATATAGGAGGCTCTGCCTCTGCTCTGCAGCTCTGGTTGCAGACCCTCTTGAGCATGATGGAGGGAGACAGTGCAGAATATTTATCTGCTTCCCAGAGTGGAGGCTTTTGTTACCTGGTTTGTAAAAACCCTCAAAGTACTGCCTTGCCATGAAATATTGCTTGTTCCCAGACTGTGAGCATCCTCCAGCCACCACTGATTTCAGAGGGACTTGGATCAGGGCTCCTGCTGAGCATTCTGCTGGGAGCAGCCGGGGCTTTTGCACGCTGCTATTGCTTGGCCTGTGGCAGCAAAGCTCCTCCTTGGTGTAGCTAAAATCTACTGTCTGGTACCATGAGAATTAAGTGTCTTGCTCTACCACTGCCCACAGCTTTCTAGGCTAAACACCACGTTAGGCTTAGACTACCAGGAAAGCAGGTGGGATTGTCTGACCCCTTCCCTGGGAACTGCTCTGTCCCCTTGCACTACAGTCCTAGGATCATGTTCCTCCTGAACTGCTTCAGGGCAGGGGATTGGGAATTGGCAGGGGAACATTCAGGACTAGCAGTCACGTTGTTCCTGGATAGGAATCACACCTGCCTTGTGCTCATTCTCTGAGTGAGGGAGATGAAGAAAGGACTGGTGGATAGATGGTTGAGAACCCAAAGTTTCCTCCCCTTCTACATCCCAGACCCTGTCTAAGCTGTGTGAGTGCTGGGGAAATCTCTGGAAGCTCTGTCTGCAACCTGAGTAATTTGGGGCACTGAATTTCCCCTGCCATCATCTGGCTGTGAAACGTAAGAGCTCCGTGGCAGGAGAATCCCCTGCAGATGGATGTGCAGGGGCTTGGCAGTGCCACCAACGTCCGTCCTGCCCACGGGCCAGAGGAGAGCATGCAGGGGGCACTTCCCATGGCACGTGGCCCTCTGTGTGCCTGCATCAAAGCCCCCTGAAGCACTGGAAAGGCAGGGGTTGGTTGAGCTCAGCTGGGTGCTGAGAGCTTTGGGTTGTGTGTGCTGGGGTCAGTTTATCAGTAGAGAGGGACATTCACTTACCGTTAAGATCTGTCCTCTGAGGTGGCTGTGAGTTGCTGTTTCCATTGCCATAATCCTCCAAACCTGTAAAGTATAAACCGGAGATTGGCAGGGTGTCCTCCTATAGTGAGGTGCTGGCACTCTCTGGAGCCAAGCACCTCAAACCCTCTTATGTAACCCATCAACCTAGCTGAACTCGGCTATCATCAGGATCCACCTTCCCTGTTGTATCTGCTGTATTGGCTGCAGTTCTTGTTGCTAAATACTGAGAGGCAGAAAGTGCAATAGTCCAGGTCTAAGTCACTTTGATGGGCAGGTGCTGGGTGCTGTGTTAGATGAAACACGAACACAACTTTTGTGATAGCTTTGCCTATCCTTGTTAGCCTGGGACTGGTTGCCTGAAAATCCAGCTTCTCCCCAAGGCTTTAGAGCAGGAATATTCCTTCTCCTCCCTTTATTTCTGCAGGGAGGGTCCCCTTACAGTTGCAGAGGAGAGTTGTAGCTTTTTGGAAGACCCGCTGCAGGACAGGAGCTGGGCCAGGGCCGCTGTCCCAAACTGTAGCTATAAATGGCTCAGGACAGTGATCGAGACAAAGCCCGGGCACACTGCAAACAGAACAGTTTCACCCTGTACTCCGGTGCAGTAGGTGCCGTGCGGGGTGAAAAGGCCGAGCTCCCTCCCTGCTGACCTTGCGCAGCCGCGAGAGCCCGTGGAGGCACCTGGGGGCCGCTGCAGGGCACAGCAAGGTGCAAACACGGTCCTCGGATTAGTGCCTGTGCGTGTCCCCTGCTCCTCCTGCGCCCTGGGCTGCGCGCCCCGGGGCCGGCCCGAGCACACCGGGCACTGCACGGGGCAGGGTCTGCTGCAGCGCCAGCGCGGGCACGCCGGGCTGCTGCCAAAACCCCGGGACGTTTGGGGGTTTGCAGCATGTCTGCAAAGAGCAGAAAGAGTGGGGGTGGGGGGTAAAGCCCAAACCCTGCCGCAAAGCTGCTGCTTCTCTTTGCCATCTGCACCTGCAGCCCTCCCCTCCTCACCCCGCCGCAGGTGGGTCGTTACCTGCGCCTCGGCTGCCTCCTTTGTGCCCCTCTCGCTGCCCCTTCTCCTTGCTCGGTGCCTCCTCGGGGCGGACAATGAGCAGCAGATTGATGGTTACTGCACTGGGGTCTGTCTTAAAGTCCATAGTACCCATCAGTGCAAGGCCGGGGGGCTCCCGCCGAGCTGCCGCTGCAGCGAGCGGCCGGCTTCGCTTCCCAGCCTTGGAAAGGCGAGTGCACTCCCGCCCAGCCGCAGCCCCGGCCCTGCCAGCTGCACCATCAGGGCTCTGCCAAAGCCGACCCTAATGAAGAGGTTACAAGTCACCTTTGAAAGGAAATCGCAGGAGGGATCCGTTTCCTAAAGCAGAGGAAGGAGCTGCGTTTTGGGCGGGGGGGTCTGGTTTCAGAGCGTGCCCCCGGCTCCCTCCCCTCGCTGCCCTTTTCGGCTTTAAGCACTTGTCTACACTCAAATCCCCCAGCACCGCTGTTCGCTGGGGGGGATTCGCTTCCCGGCGCTGGCACAAATCCTTAAAAGGCTTTCTCTTTGGATCTTGTCCCCCGGCAGAACTCAAAGGATGCTTAGGAGCGTAAATAATAACAATAACTGCGGCAGGAGGGCAGCGGTGGGGCCAAGGGGCTGGATGGAGTGCAGGCATGAGCCTTTACAGCAGGGAGGATCAGTCTTTGCAGGGCTGGCCGGTGTGCAAAGGGACAGTAGCAATGGGAATTGCAGGATGTAACCCTAACTATCTCAAATGATCCAAAAAACCCAACTCCCTCTGCCTCATCAGTCCTTGAGCCCGGCTCTCTGGGGTAGCTGGAGACGGCTGATCAAAAAGGAAAGCCCTGCAAATCCCTGGCTTTCTAGTAACTGTCCCAGCCTCCAGGAGAGGGGACATGAAGGGTTACAGTGCAGGTTAGCAACTGGGCTCAGCTGGTCCCTGCAGGTCGAAGCAGGAGCTGGCAGGGACAGGCTTTCTAATTTTACTCCTGGCCCCTGTCCCGGCTATGCTGCCAAACCCCCACTGGCTTGGCCAGGGGTCCCGAGAGAGCAACAGCACCTGTGGGCTGAAGGGCTCTCTGGCAGCTTTGGGATGGGCTGCAGGAGGCACCCACTAGCAGAGAGGGGGTTCGGAAGCTTGGCATGGGTGGGGTGTCTTTTTGTGGATGTTGCTTTTCAGGCAGCAGTGAGAGAACAGTGGGCTCTTCTGGCTGCGGATGGGGAAAGTTGTTGTGCTGGATCCACAGGCAGGAGCTGGTACTACTACCTGGTGTTAGGTTACTATGTTTGGAGGCACGGGTTTTCCCCGTGGATCTCTATATAAATCCCGTTCCCTCCCAGTCTCCTGCCCCTGTGCTGTTCCTGAGCCCCTTCCAAAGCAGGGACAGCTGATACGCCCCCATGCTCGCCTGCAAATCCAGCCCCGAGCAGCTCCTCAGCATATCCAGAAATAGCGTGTGTGGCCATGGGGAACCTTCCTCCACCCAGCTCTGCTGGTGCATCTTTGCACCATCCTGCACCCTCTGTGCCCCCCTGGATGGTGCCACAACATCCTTGCCAGGAGGGGAGTGTTGGGAATGGGATGTGCATGTAACCCCCAATAACGCTGCAAGAGTTCCCTGTCAGGATGGATGATAATATTATTGTTACTCTAGGAAGTGGTTTTGCTTTTTAGTTTGGTCAGTGGAGTGGTGTCAGGTTCAGGGGTTCCTAGTTCAGCTCTGACAATGAGGAGCTGACTGGAGGTGGTTAAAACCTGGTGAGGAGAAGGAGGGCCAGATGCATGCTGAGTTGTGCTGGGCTCCACCAGGCAGACTTTCCAAGCCATCTGGGGCTTGCCCGTCTCCAGGTCCCCAAGATTTATGGCTGGAGTGACTTTCTAATCACAGTTTTGCCATCTGCCTGTTGGCCTTTAGCACTCCCCTCTCACCTGTCACTGAGCCCTGCAGCTCATGCCTGTTCCTGCCCAGCACGGAGCACCCTTTCGTCCCCAGCCACTCATCTGGGGTGCGACCCTTGGCCCTGTGGTCCTTTCTCCTTCATAACCCAGGCGGGCCAGTCTGATCTCCTGAACTACTCATTGGCATGGCTGAATCCTAACTCTGATCTCACCTGCGTCCTGTGCCAAATTCTGCTCCAATCCTCTACGCTCTGTTCCTGCCTCCCATCCACAGGGATTTCCCTGTGTGTTCTGGCCTCGCTGCTCCTCCAGATCTGCTCTTGCCCTCAGTCCTCTCCAGCTCCAGAGAGGTGGTGGCTCAGTGACAACACAAAGGAAAAAAATCTGTCTGGGGATGTTGGTAAAAGCAAATTTTCAGGGGTGCAGCCCCGGCCACGCTGGGATCTGAGCCAAGCTCAGTGTGGACGCTCTGATGGTGTCAGCTGATGTTGAGCTGATGTGTTCCTTTCCTGGCAGCTCTGAGCTGGAGCCTCCACAGCCAAGCACGTGGTGGTCACTGCTCTGACAGCTGCTGGCATTTTCCTTCCTACCAGGCTGTAAAATTTGGTAAAGCCTCATTTTATCTCTCTTCCTGGTGAGCTGGGTGCCCGTGGGCTGAGCTCTGTTGCCTTCTTATGCCGGCCTCACCTGCATCCAACCACAATGTGTTTCCAGCACACTGAAAGCATCTGAAAGGAGCTCCTGCCTTCCTAGAAAAGCCAGTCCCTGGGGAGAACGTCGTTGGTTTTTGAAGGCTCTTTTGCATTTTCTTTTCTTCCCTTTTATCCTCTGTTTTTAACTTGAGAGAGGAAAGGGAATATTTCTGATGGTGCTTTTCTGTGCGTGCCATGAGGAAGAGACAGGCTGTGCTTGAGGTAGGTGCTACTGCCTCCCCTACATCAGGGAGGCCTCCTGCTCCAAAAATTTCCATGGCCATGAATTTTGCATGCAGAGGAACCTCCTTGCTGGCCTGAGGTAAAGCAATGACATCTTTTCATGGGCCAGGATATTTTTGAAGGTAAAATATTTGCATTTTGAGAAGGAAAGGGAGAAAGCCTGTTAATGCCATGTTGATTTTCAAATAAAGGCAGCTCATTGGACTTCCTGCAGGATTTCAAATATTCACCTAAATCCCAGGGAGGTGAATTAATAGCTGGATAACAAGAGCTGCTATCGCAGTGCCACAATTATATGTATTTACCACATGGCTGGCATTTCTCCAGGGGTGATGGGGTGGGAGAGAGAGACAATACAAATGTAGAGCAAGAATTAGGTTATTTGAATCCCATTGGGTGGAAAGGGAAATTGCAGGCTGTGTTGCTGGGAAAGGGTTTTAACTCTTGTGCAGGTTTGCTACAGTCTGTAAAGGCTCCAGGTTGCAGAAGGTGTGATGGGAAGATATCCTGCCTCCACTGCGCCAAAGAGGGGCTGCTGGACACCTCAGTCCTGCCAGGGCTGAGGCTGAGGGTGTCCAAGTGCTTTTGCAAGGCTGTTGTAGATACCAGCATTGGAAAAAGTGCTAGGGCTGCCCTTCTCCTCGGTGCACGTTCTCCTGACCTGCTCTAGGGTTCCACCTTGGGGGGGATGGTTATGTCCCTGTGCTGTGGGGTCTTCCCACTGCCTGGAGAGGAAACCTGAGCACATAACTCCATTGGAGGCAACACCAAAGTAAGGTTAAGATGAACCCATCTTAATGTACTTTGGAACTAACATCCTTGATGACCCTTTTGGGTCATCATCACTCATTGCTTAGAAACTTTTGCCTTTCGTTTGGTGCTTGTGGCTTCTTGGGTCATGACGAAGAGCATCCCTGTTTCTCCTAGCCATGCTGTCCATGAAGGAGTTAGCAGTGTCACCTCCAAGCTGGAGAGCCTTTGTGCAGGGGCTGTTCCCTGTTGCTGCTCCTCCTCCTCCTCTGAGCCCTTGTCCAGGGATGGTTGTGCCGCTGCACGTGCAGGTGTGCCGATGGCTCCTGTCCTGTTCTCCGTGCCCTTCCTGTCCAAGTGCCATCCCAGCATTAGCCTGGCTTTGTTCACCATCCAGGAGGTGGATATTTTCCCAGCACTGCCCACCCAGACGCCCAAGATATGTCTGCTCCTCAGAACTGCTCATTCAGAGCCCATTGTCACGTGTGGATATATTTGTAGTCTGGGGGTTGTTTTGTTTTTTCCCAGACATCACTTTGCATTTGCAGACATTGAATCCAGCTCCCATTTCCTCTCCCTCTCACAAGTTAACTTCAGAATGTCAGGATGCATCTGCGGGGGATAACGCATTACAATTGCACTCTGGTGAGTTTTAATCTGCTCTCTTGGCCTCCCTTGCCCTTTCTTCCTCTCTCCAGCAGAGCTGCAAGACGCTGCCCTTATTCTCATCCCAGCGTTTTCCATCCCCAGACTGCTCAGGCCGTTCACTCTGCAGTTCTGCTGTGTCAGCAGCTGTGCTTTATGATTTAAGACAGCAACAGAACTTTCCACTGAACTATAAGCCCATGTATCCAGTTTCCTGGTATCCACACAAGTGGGAAGCTAACTGATGGCTGGGATAGCCCTGCTGGAGAGGTCAAGGATGTGTTCAGATGACAGGGAGACAATGAGGGCCGGCACAAAATTGAATCAAATGGCGTGACCCCCAAGGAAGAGACTTGCCTTTGGAGGTGAGTTCCGTGTCCTGTGGGGAAATACCTGTCCCCAGGTGGGCAGCCTCTGGCAGGAGGTACTGCATCCCAGGTGGGACTCCTGGGGATAAGAGTCAAGCCTGATTGAGATACAGCACAGCTCTCCTTCCATGGGGGAGCCTGGGGACACCCTGCCTGCGCAGAGGTGCTGGGAGCAGCTGTGTAAGTAGGGAGCAGGGAGAGGAGTGAGTGTGGCTCAGGGAGAGTGTCACAGCTCTGTGCTCAGAGAGAGCACTGCAAACATTTCTGCTGATTCCTCCTACTTTCCCTTTTTTCAGTGACAAGTGACAACATTGCCATGACGGCCGCTGTTCTTTGTTCCTGAAGAACAAGCCTTCAGCAGCGGGAGATTCAGCAGATGTTTTGCTAAGGTTTCCTAAAAACAGAAAAGACCAGTGTGGATGCCCCATGGCAGAGACCTGCAGGAGTGGCTGTGTGTCCTCAGCCACCTCGGGTCACACTCTGACAGGGAGCTCCTCCTTCCCTCGCAGCTGGATGGGGCTCTGCTGGGCAGGGTGCCTCTGTCCCAGCACTTGGGCTGCTGGAGGGAGGGAGGGAGGGGGCTGCTGACAGGACATTGGCCACCAAAGGCTGCCAGGCTCTCCAGAG